CACATTGTTCCACGGAATTGTCTAAAAATTGGTATATGTGATTCGCAATGGATTCTAGCTTCGGTGGCGGAACATTGTATATATAGGTCTACGCCTCTACATGGTGAGACAAAAAACTGCAACAAAGTCAAACGCCATAATTTTAACATTTTCTTTTTTTATAAAAATGTCGGATATAGTATCAACTATCAGAATAAGTTTAGATTTGTTCGAATTGGTCACCTTTAGTAGGAATTATGTCCTTCAAACGGCCAATGAATCTGTCACACGCTGCCCGAATGTTGCTCTGCGGTATTTTGTCCCATTCCCTGCGAAGCGCTTGCTTCAGGTGATCGACATTTTTTAGTGCAAACCTTGATTTGCAAAATACTCCAGACCAAATAATATAACAGATTGGTATCCGGAGAATTTGGTGGCCATTGTGCGATGGAAATAAAGTGAGGAACCTCATTTTGTAACCATTCTTGGGAGGCACGTGCTAAGTGCGATGGTGCTGAACAAAATGTTTGCGTGCCCATGGCTTTAATACACCCTCCAGAATATTTTCGCGATAATATTCGGCATTTATTCTGATGGCGGCCCACACCATCACCATGGCCGGCGCTTGAGTTCAAGTGGCCAACCGAAGGTGTACATTTTCACCTGACTTCTTTTGCAAGTAAACACGATCATTTCGTTTGTTTACAAACTGTTGGACAACGACTTTCGGTCAAGCGAAGCAACATTTTAGCTCTTCTTAGTCTATTTCCTTTTTGTTGCGGTGTAAGTTCTTGCACTTTTTTCAAATCCTTTACCTCGAGCTAATTTTTCAATATTTGCCGAATGGAATATTGCGATATGTTCAGCTCACGAGCCATTTTTCGGCCACTGCGACGCGGGTTTCGATCAAGTGGCTTCTTTACTTTTCGAACCATTTCTACTGATATTGCTGTTTTCTTCCGTCCACTTCCTTGACGTCGGGCTACGCTACCAGTATCACGGTAACGAGCGATGGTAAGAGACACAAAAGATTTATTCGCATTTAAATGCTGGAGTGCTCTAACCATATCCACTTGTGGTTTTCCAGCCAAATATAAAGAAATCACACTATCACGCTTAAATTCCATCACGAATAACTTCTTTTCTGGAAAATTTTCACCAAAATGCTTTTGTTCACTTGTAAACAATATAATGAGCTGACACTGGAATAATTTTAACAGCTGTCGGACGAATGGCTTAGAAATGACAGCTGTCTGAAGTTGGTTGCAGTTTTTCATCTCACCCTGTATCTGGACGGCACGCATATTTCAACATCTTCCAAACATTATCACATCTCTCATATAAAGTGAAGGAAATAGCCGTGTCAAATCTGGCACTTTGTAATACTTAAATCCGATATTTATCCACTACCTCGAAACCTTCTCCATAACGCAACTCAAAATAAAATGTAATAAAATTGTGAGGCTAAGGTTATACAAATTGTTTAACTTGGTATCTATAATATTTTCTAATACCTATTCCAAGGAATCTTACTTCGAAATTTTCGGAAAAAGGGAAAAGGGAGCAACTTTTGTAACATGGTTTTCTCGTCGGCTGAGGTAAGCTCGACTGTATCAAAGTTTTCCTTAAGGACTCACGAAACCTCATGTAATAAGAAGAGTAGATGAATATAATATATGGGATGGCGAATTGACTTTTGATATGCTCGGAAATTCAGAGTAGATTTTTTTAATTGATGGACGATTCGTGGTCAATAGGGAACTATGATGTGGCGGTGTCGGTTTGTTTATGATAGGTACACGGGTGATTAAAGTGAAGTGTGATTAGCCGGTGATAATGTTGAGGTTACCGACAGTTCGAGGGTGATCGGGTACTCCTGGATGATTGTGAGATGTTGACAAGTGAGGAAGATGATCAGGAATTACGATGTTTGCGTTGTGGTGGCGACTTGAAGGAAATCGGGAATTTGTTGATGGTCGTCAAATGTTGGTGCGGAAGATCAGTACCGTTAAATTGTTTAATGCAAACAGGAATTACGATGTTGGTGTTTGAATTATGGTCGGTATTGGAGATGTTGATATTTTTGAAGGTAATCGGGGATTTTGATGGATGGTCGGTACCCATATTTATAATGGGGATTATGTCCGTTTTTTTTTTTTTTTGTTTTACCCTAATGAAAAATAATAAACTAGGAAGTATGACCGTTGGCTGTGGAAAAAAGGCTTATGTTGGGTTTAGGCTCTATGCTCGGATTGACCAGAAATTTTTATCACAGGTAGGTAGGTACCCCGGGTACCCGGGTTATTCGCTTAGAAATACAAAATCCGGGTATAAGCCGGTTCTATAAAACTGATATGAACAAATGAGTATCCTTTGGAAACTTGTGGAAATTCCTATCCAAAAAGTAATCATTTGATGGGATGTGATTATTTGACCCGGCTCCGAAGCAATACAAGAAAATTGGTATTTTTGTACCGAAGCTTTATGCGTTATTAAATCTACATAATTCACCACCAATGTTCGAACTACGATACGCTACAACGAAATAAAGATTCTTGTGGGACAGCAAGCCGTAGCTCCTGTGGAAAAACGAGCCAAAGACCCTGTGTAAATGAATTTTCGACTAAATGAGAGCCAGTTCAAAAAAGGACAGTTTAACGACAACAAATGATTCAGAAAATCATATACTACCATTTGAAAAGTATATTATATTTGTCATTCCGTTTATAACTCCTCGAAATACTCATGTCACTCATGTCATTCTTGATCGGCGTAAAATTTTAAGTCGATTTAGCGATGTCCGTCTGTCTATTGTTATCACGCTATCTTTCGAATGCATTGAGATAGAAAGCTAAATTTTCGCACACTTGTTTATTTTGCCAGTAGGCAAGTTAAGTTCGTAAATGGGCCATATAGGTCCACGTTTTCATATAGCCCCCATAAATGGGAGGTACCATTTATTTATATAAAATTCGGTATTTTGATGATTTAAGCGACACTATTCACCGAAATTGTTTCAAATTTGGTATTTAAAGTTCGAAATGGATACCATAGCCTAAGACAGAAAAATGTCTGTGCTGGTCCACGTCTTCGTATAGCCCCCATAAACGGTACCTCCCAATATTCGGTATTTTGATGGTTTAAGCGACATTATTCACCGGAATTGTTTCAAATTTGATATTTGAAGTTCGATATGGATACTACAGCCTAAGGCAGAAAATTGTCTGTGCAGGTCCAAGTCTTCATATGGGGGCTATATGAAGAGTTGGACCTGCACAGACAATTTTCTGTGCTTCGGAATTTTGGTGATTTCGATATTTTGATGATTTTAGCGACATAACTCACCGGAGAAGTTGCAAATTACGTATTTTTTAGAGTTCGAAGTTCCTCCCTATATTCGGTATTTTGGCTATTTTAAGTACAACACTCACTGAAGTTGTTTGAGATGTCGTATTTGAAGTTCGTAATGGAAACTACAGCCTGTGACAAAAAATTGTCTATACAGGTCCAGGTCTTCGTATACCTCCGATATGACGGTATCTCCCTATATGCGGTATGTTGATGATTTTAGCTACATTATTCACCGTTTATTTCAAGTTTCGAATTTGAATATGGCAATGCCTTACGACAAACAAAGCCTATGTAGGTCCACGTCGTATAGACCCCAATATAACGTCTGTATTCGGTATTTTTAGATTTTAACAGAATTTTTTAACGGATTTTATTTTTTGAAAATGTCCAAATTCGTTCCAAATGGTGGAAGGTATTCAAAGTTTGGCCCGGCCGAACTAACTGCTTTTTAACTTGTTCTCGTTCTATTGTCGTTGTTGTTGGTATTATTACAATTAGAGCGGTTGTATGTTCTGACTAATGTATGTGATAAAATCATCACGGAAAACTTAGTCCCTCTATTTTTATTACTTTGGAATGTAAAGTTTCACAACTCCTTTCATAGTCTTCCGAATTTTCCCCTTAATCATTTTTTTTTTTTTTTTTGTTGCACGGTGTAATTAAAGAATCTCACATTTTCAAACTTTAATTAACGTTAACTTAAAGAGAGTGTTCTTTACTTTTCACAAAACCCAATAACAAAGGCGATAAAACAATAACCAACTAAAAAAGTTATTTCCCCAAAAAACAAAGAAAGAAAAAATCTCGAAACTTGAACACAAAGAATTCTCATTGTAATACTTGTTATCCTTATTATCTTTGGCATAATAACACAAAAAGGGACTTATATTTCCCGCAACTGACCTCACGGTGGACAACAATACGCCAAGCTAAAAAAAAGAAAAGCTGAAAAGGAAGAGAGGAAAGTGATTGCCACAAGATGACTACTTTACTTCCAAAGCTTACTCAATATTAATTTGTTAAATACAAAACGTATCCCTGCAAATTACAAGGACCATGTCCCTTCATTAACCAAAAAGGCAATCGACGAAGAACACAAAAAGAAGCGGACAGAACAGCAACAGAAACCAAAAACGGTTGAATATCCTTTTTCCCCCTCACTGCTTCCCTTAGGTTCAACGAATGGCAGTGGAAGAAAAATAAAATCAATTAAAAAATTAATTAAACGTAACTTCCAAATGGTGTGGGTGGGAAAAGGGAACTGAGGAGAGAAATCACAACAACATTATTTAAGGGACACATTTTTCTCTGTTCTTCGTGTTGGCGTTTTATTTTTTCTTCCCCTACACTGCATTCATTCATTCACTGACCAATCTGATGACGGGACAATACCCGACCAAAAGAGAGAAAATCTTTAAATTTTATTAACAACACTTGGAAAAAACAGTTGGTAGGTTGCGATGCGTGTCTGTCATTATGTGGGCGTTGAAAATGTTAATTTAACTGAACAATTTGCAAAAAAAAAACCGAAAACAGAAAACAACTCGAAGAACAGTTTTCGAAGAACAACGCTACGAAGGTCACAGCAAAGCAAGGTAACGAAATACTAAAGGTTAATTGTTCCGAAAAGAAATGTTAAATTGCCAATGTCTCAGCGCAAATTTACATACCAGCGACAGCGGATGAAATTAAGTCACTTGTCTTCGTAGTTGAACGGCAGGAAAGTTATCTGAAATTGACAAAGAAAAAAGTAGACAAGGGAAAATGTTAGTAATTTTCTTTTCAGTTTCGCAAATAACTTAAAGCTACAAACATTTAAAAAAACAAGATAAAAAGTATCGGTCGGTATTGCCGACAGATATATACCCTCAGCCTGTGTTCGATTATTTAAATATAATTTGACTAGTATTACAATTATTCAAACGTTTTACCCTCTATGAAGCAGGTTCCGAAGGAATGGGCCAATATTGTCTATTTCGTATCGGACCCCAATATATGATATAAATATTCCGACATTCCTGGTATGGATTATATCGACTAACTCCTTCACTATGTATGAGATATGTAATAATTTTTAGAAAATGTTAAAATGTGAGTGATGTACAAGATAGAGTCTACCGAAATATTCCACTTTTATACTTCATCTGATACAAATAAAAAATATTTAGCGAAATATTTGGCAACAATAAAAGAAAGGATATTTATGTCCAATTTTATGCGAAATCATAAATTCCGATAAATTTCATATTCATATCAGGCTCTTGTTTAGAGAAATATTTGAGCATAGCAAGTAGTAAAGAATTGCTAAATTGTTTCGAAAGTTATGACAGATAAAATTATTGAAAATTGTGACCCCAGAAGGGGTTGGCAGGTATATATTAACTTCACAACCGATCTTGTATGTGTGAAATTTGAGGAGAGTTGGATGTTTATTTCGCTTTATTTGGGCGTTCGTTTTTCAAAATCTTGAACCCTATGTATGGGGGAGAAGTAATGGTTCGATCTATACCACCTTTATAACAGATCTTGTGTTGATAGAAATGTTGAGATGTGCCAAGTCTAAATGGAATCGGATGTTAATTTGGCGTTTTATTACTTTATGGGTATTCAAAATTTCGACACTTTGTGGGGGAGGTACCAGAAGGAGTGTGCCGATACATTCCATTTTCGCACCAGACCTTGGACTAATAAAATTATTGGGATGTGTGAAATTTAAAGACTATCGGACTCTTACATCACATTTTATAAGAGTTGTAATTATTCAAAATTTTGACCATTTGTGGGGGAGGTACTTGATGGAGTGAACCGATATCGTCCATTTTCACACCTGGTCTAGCACTGATGAAAATATTAAGATTCGCAAAGTTCGAGCAAAATAGGATCATCCTTTATCTTTCTGTGCAATAAATTTTGACATTTTGTGTGGGAGGTACCAGAAGGAGTGGACCGATATCGCCCATCTCCGAACTCGATCTAAGTTTGATAAAAATATTACGATGTACCAAGTTTGGATCAAATCAGATACTTCCTTTGAGAGTTATCGTGCGCACCAGCCAGCCAGACAGACAGACGGACGGACGGACGGACGGACATCGGTAGATCGACTCCAAATGTTCTGAAACGGATTTGGTCCAAAGAGACCTAGGGTCTAAAACCGTTATTTTGACTAGGCACGTTTTGACCGTATCAAATGATATATACCCTCTGTAGCCATATGGCTGAGGGTGTAAAAAGATGAAATTCGAAGAAGTTTTTTGGTTTAAAAATTGATTGTAGTCAAGAATGGCATTTTAGACAATTCAAAAAATTAAAGGTTACAACTAAGAGAATCCTTTGGAAAATTACCGAAACATGAGCTAAGACATGCCTAAAATCCTGAAAAATTTTAAAAACAAAAACAAATACTATCATAAATATAGATTTAAGCAGGCATATTCTGTAACTTTTTAACAACTTTATTCATTGTTTATTTTACCAAATATTCATTGGCTTGTTTTGTTTTTGTTACTATTACAAAAGGTAATTTAACAACTTTCCAATCGATAAAAGTTACAAAATAGAATTACAGTTATAAAAAATAATATTAACAATGTGTTTAATGTAAAGAGAATCGAATGCTCTTTCTACATTTCATGATCCTCAAATTTATTCAAAATTTGAACCGTTGTAAAGGAGTGGTCCGTTCCATCCGTTCTTCAGACCAGATCTCGTGTTGGTATGAATATTGACAAGAGTTATATTCACTCAAAAAGTCGACCCTTTGTGAGGGAGGTACCAGAAGGAGTGGACTAATATTGCCGAACTCCCACTAAGTTTACTAGCCAGACCGACAGACGGACGGACTGACGGATACCCCCAAATCGATTCCAAATGTCCTTAAAGGAATTTGGTTCAAAGAAACCTAGGGTCTAAGCCCTTTATTGAGAGGATGCACATTTTGGCCATATCAAATGACATATACCTTCTATAGTCATATGACTGAGGCTATAAAAAGAAAGAAAACTAGCAAAAACGCAGATATGTTTGGCCGGGCAGAACTTTTAATACACTCCAACATTTGTAAAGAATTTTCAAAAAAAAAAAAAAAATCCGTGAAAAATACCATTTAAATTAAAACCATAATATGAGGCATTGGCCTGCATAAGTAACTTTTATTTATGTCATGGGCGTAGTAAAATCTTCAATTACGAAATTTAAAAAAAATCCAGTGAACAATGTCACCAATATCATCGTAATACCGGATAAAGGGAGGTACCGTTATATGGAGGCTATACAAAAACGTGGACCGACAAGGGTCATTTACAAACTTTAACTGCCTACTGGCAAAATACACATGTATACAATATGTTAGCCTCTACCTCAATTTGTTAGAAATACAGTGTGATTATAACGGACTGACAGACAGATGGACATCGCTAAATCGATATAGAATTTTACACTTTTTTTCTCACAGGGTGAGATAAAAAAAACTGCAACAAAGTCAAACGCCATAATTTCTACATATATTTCTTTTTAATTTTAATGAATGAAAGCAAAAAAAATCGGAAATAGCATCAAATTTTAGAATAAGTTTAGATTTGATCGAATTGGTCACCTTTGGCACTAATTATGGTCTTCAAACGGCCAATAAAACCGTCATACGCTGCCCGAATGTTGCTCTGCGGTATTTTGGTCCATTCTCGACGAAGCACTTGCTTGAGGTGATCGACATTTTGGTATTTTTTAGTGCCAACCTTGCTTTCCAAATACTCCAGACACTATAGACCAACAGATAGGTTTCCGGAGATGTTGGTGCCATTTGTGCCCTAGAAATGAAGCGAGGAACTTAATTTGGTAACCACTCTTTGGTGGCGCGTGCTGAGTGCGATGGTGCTGAGTCCTGTTGGCATGTCCAACGTCTACGGCCAAAATGTTTGCGAGCCTAAGGCTTTAATACATCCTTCAGATTATTTTCACGATAATATTCGGCATTTATTCTGATGCCAGGGTCGATTAATACGATCGAAGAGCGACCATCGGCTGTTATGACGGCCCACACCATCACCATAGTGAGTTCTGGTGACCAACCGAAGGTGTACATTTTCAGCTGGCCTCTTTGGCAAGTAAACACGGTAATTTTATTTGTTTACAAACTGCTGGACAACGAATGTTTTCCCATCGGAGAAAACCAAATTCGGCAGTTCACCACTTTCGGCCAAGCGAAGCAACTCTTTAGCTCTTTTTCTTACTGTTGCTTTGTAAGTTCTTTCATTTTTTGGAATTTCAATGGCTTTACCCCGAGCTCATTTTTCAATATTTGCCGAATGGAATATTGCGATATGTTCAGCTCACGAGCCATTTTTCGGCCACTGCGACGCGGTTTTCGATCAAGTCGCTTCTTGGTTTCTTCCGTCCACTTTATTGACGTCGGGCTACGCTACCAGTATTACAGTAACGAGCGATGATACGAGACACAAAATATTTATTCACATTTAAATGCTAGAGTGCTCCAACGATAGCCACTTGTGGTTTTCCAGCCAAATATAAAGAAATCACACTATCACGCTTAAATTCCATCACGAATAACTTTTTTTCTGGAAAATTCTCACCAAAATGCTTTTGTACGCTTGTAAACAACCTAATGAGCTGTCACTGGAATAATTTCAACAGCTGTCAAACGAGTGGCTTAGAAATGACAGCAGTCTGAAATTTTTTTTATCGCACCCTGAATATCTCTATTCGATTTTAAGTTTATGGTGCACCAAATTCTTAACATATGCCCGAATTGAATGGATTTTGTCACATACGAACGAGTTCAGCCTGGAAGAGAGTGGTGCAAACCGGTTAAGATATAGCTATATGTCCAATACATATGTTTTATCCGATTTTGTCTTTTACTCCCTCACACCCGTAAAACACGCTCCACAAAAACGTTATTTGGTGCCAGCTATCAGATTCAGCATAGGAATACCTTTACTTATTTTTATAGAGATCGGTTCATATTTGGATATAGTTTCCATATATATTTTCATCCGATTTCATGTTTTTTGTCCCCATAAAGTGTAATATAAGCTAAAACAGAATGGAATTTATATACCGGTTCAGATACAAATGCCTCCATCAAGTTTACGATAGAAGCCTGCCATATATTAGTTCCTTCCGGCTTTTAATTATTACTTACATGATATGCCCTATCTCCACTCTAGATATAGTTTAATCCAAAATATTGAGATACGGTATGTTTGAAAAAAAAATAGGGAACTAACATCACATTTTCCAACAATTATTCTTAACCAAAATTTTCTGTTTTGAGAAGAAATACTGGACTCATATTGTCTAAATTAGTGCTCCATCGCGAAACTCACCAGTAAAGTCTGAATTAAAAAAAAGACAAATTAAAAAGAAGTAAGTTCGGCCGGGCCGAACTTTTAATATCCTCCAACATTTGCAACGAAATTAGCAATTTTCAAAAAATAAAATCCGTTCAAATTTCTGTTAAAATATTAAAAATACTGAATATATCCGTTATATTGGGGTATTTACGACGTGAACCTACAAAAGCTTTGTTTTCCATAAGCCATTACCATAATCAAATTCGAACTATTTTAAGGTTTCGTTGAAAATCATCAAAATACCGTATATAGGGGGATACCGTTATATCGGAGCTTTACGAAGACCTGTAGCTGCATAGACAATTTCTGTCACAGGCTGTTGCATCCGTTACGAACTTCAAATAAGACATCT